GAACTGCACATGTACCCCCTAAATATATACTTTTAAAAAACTCTCTTGGCCAGGTGCGGTGGCTCACGCCTGTAATCCCAGCACTTTGGGAGGCTGAGGTGGGCAGATCACCTGAGGTCAGGAGTTCAAAACCAGCCTAGCCAACATGGAGAAACCCCATTTCTAAAAAAAAAAAAAGAAAAAAGAAAAATAAAAAACTCTCTGAAAAAAATGAAAATCTAGGAAGCGTCCATAATCCATATTGTAACTCAAGTAGAGTTATAACTGTGAGGTCCTGCATTGGGTGTCCCAATACAAAATCTGAAAAAAAATTAGATGAAATTGGCAGAGCACAGAAGCGTACATGTGGGAAAGCTACTAGGTTTCAAATCTGGGAGTGTACACCCACCAGCATTGATTCTTATGAGATTTACAGCTCTCCCCATGCCAAGAAGTCGTTGGCGCTTGAAATCATACAAATGAGGAGAATGAAAGGATTGTGGAAATACCGACAGCCTTATAGCAGTCTACTAAATATAGAGCTACACAGAGGCAAAAGAGAGATAATTCATGCATTACAGTAAATCCAACCAAACTTTCTTTGAACAGATCAGAGCATCCACAAGAAACAACAGGGTTGAAAAGCTTTTCTCCTTTAGGGAAAAATTTGGCCTCAGATAAGTGTTTATGTTTGTTGTAAAAAGCCGGGGGGGAGGAGTTATACATGTATTAAAGAATAGATATTTTGTAATACCGTGTCCCAACTAGAATAGTGCTGTGGAGTGAAGTTCGTATTTCCCAAAACACAGCCATGAAGCCAGAAAAGCCAATGTCTCAGTAAGATGCTTCTATCAAAAAAAAAAAAAAAAAGAAAAAGAAAAAAAATCTGCAAAAGGCTAAAGAAACTATCCTGAGATTGTATGCTTTTATGCCAAGATTTTATTTTTGAAGTATTAGCTAACCTACCTCTTTCTCTCACCGAATTTTCAAATAGAAACTTTGGCTTTAGGGGACCAGCCACGTAATAGATTCAAGGGAGCACCTGTCTTGTTGGCTTTAATTCCAAGAAGATCAAACCCATTGATGACAATATGCTTGGTATTTCTGTGGAAGGAATTTCCTCAGGGAACTAAAAGTGTACAGCAGGAAATGGGTAGAAAGTCAGAGGACATTCAATACCACAGAAGAACTTGGTCCCGCTCTCTGATTCTGGGAACAAAGACCTAGGGAGATGACATGTCCCTAGAGAGGTTTGGCTGCATGGTCTGCCTAGGTGAAGAGGGCTGCCAGTGGCCTCTCATTCAACATGGATCAGAACTGGAAACCACAGTAGGACAAAGCAAATCTCACCTCCTTACGTGGACCAAATTGAAAGTCCAAATTTACTGCCACAGAAGCTAAAGACCAGAAGGTACCGCCACCTCTCTGCGGAAGCCTCTGCATTTTACAAGCACCCCAGAAAAAACTGTGTGTAGTAGTTGGTTTGCTAAATAAACTGAGATGATATTTTCTTCATTTTACTTTAACTAGAAAATTAGAGTTTAAAAAGTATAATTGTATTTCTTAAATGCCCAAGTTTAAAGACTGAGCTTAACACTAATGACTTTTGAAGATGGCCATCCAATAGGCGATCTAAGAAACCCTGGATTGGAGTGCATGCATAATTGTGTTTTACACTAATTTGCATAAAAACTTTTGATTAATGCAACCAAAAAGTTGAGTCCTCAATCTAGATTCAATATTAAGGTGATTACATCCAAAGGAGAGAGAAACAGGTGGAATCAAAACTAAATTAACAAATAAGGAAGCTGATGGAAAGTTACTTCAATTGCCAGAAAAGTCAGGGCCTATACCCTATACAAGATGTCAGCCTGAAGCAGAGCTATGCTTCAAAGGAATTGTGTCTTAGGTAGAACCCCCATTATTCTCTACTTGCTACTTGTTTCACTTTTACTGGTAAGAAATGATTTCCCATTTAAGAGCTTCCAAAAACCTAGTCGTTGAGCCATGCAGGATTCTGGCTCCAGGGCACCCAGGCTTGGCTGGTTTGCAGTCTGGGACCTGCTGTTGATCTTTCCACGCGTGTTCTTAGCGTTCTACACTCTTCTACGTGAATACCCGTATAAACAGATTCGAGACAGCATCTTTCTTTTTGGTGTTAATTTCTAGACCACATTCATTAAGGACAATACATTTGGCATTTCTGAGGAGGGGATTTCCTTAGGGGGCTGTAAGTGTTTGATGAGAATGCAATAGAGGATCAGAGGACATTCAAGAAGATACTGTCAACCAATTTCTGCACCTGTTCTTAGGGTTCTAAACCTTTCTCAGCCTTGTGCCCCAAATGCCCAAGAATAACTGGTTTAAAGCACTAATTCAGTTTTTCCTGCAAGGCGGTTAATGAGTGATAACTGATGACTTTGACTGATTTAAAGAAAATATTGACTTGCAAACAAATATCTCAAATGCTTTACACTTAACTCCAGTACCAGTGACATTGGGTGTGGATGATTCTTGAGAAGGCACAGTCCTGTTTACCATAGAATATTTTTCAGCTTCTCTAGCCTCTACCACTAGATTCCAGTAGAATTTATCATCTCCCCAGGCTGCAACCACCAAAAACGGTTTCTAAATTCTGCTAAATATCGTCTTGAGAACAAAATTGCTCCCATAGGTAGCCATGGAATTATTTCATTTCAAAACTACTGACAGTAGGCAGGGTTGAAATCAGGGTTATGCTGAATAAGAGAAAAGGTGATCACTACAAAAAGAAAACCAAGCAAAACCAAAAGTTAGCAGCATAGATATACCTAAGGGCAATTTTTCTGTGAATTTTGGCAAGGTATGTTAGCACTGCATTTTTGGGACTAGCAGCCAAAGGAACTTCTTAAGAAATGCAGCCCTTAAATGAACCCTGACAATAACATATCTGATATGGTTTGGCTCTGTGTCCCCAGCCACATCTTATCTTGAATTATAATAATCCCTACATGTCAAGGGTGGCGCCAGGTGGAGATAACTGAATTATTGGAGGCTGTTTCCCCCATACTGTTCTCCTGATAGTGAGTTCTCACAAGATACGATGTTTTTTAAGCATCTGGCATTTCCCTTGCTGGTACATTCTCTCTTGCTTGACGTGTCGTAAGACGTACCTTCTGCCTTCTGCCATGATGGTGAGGCCTACCCAGCCACGTGGGACTGTAAGTCCATTAAATCTCTTTCTTTTGTAAATTGCCCAGTATCAGGTATGTCTTTATCAGCGGTGTGAAAATAGACTAATATAACATCAATGCGGATGGACGTTACAATGACCCCCACTGCATTGAATAGATCTTCTATGAGGGTCAGGTATGGTTTCAGGTGAGTTAAAAACCCCTTAAGATAAATGTCACCATGCTAAATGATGCCTTCATTTTGTTTAAAAGCTTAGTGAAAAAATTATTTATCAAAGTTAGTTGCTTGGATAAATAAATTTCTATTTGAAGACATTAAAAGAAACACCACCAACAAAAACCTAGTGAGCATAGTTAACTTAGTAAGACAGGGGGTTATAATACCTTTAAAAAGCTAATATTTGGTCCAGGCACAGTAGCTCATGCCTGTAATCCCAGCACTTTGGTAGACCAAGGCGGGCAGACCACTTAAGGTCATGAGTTTGAGACCAGCCTGGCCAACAGGGTGAAATTCTGTCTCTACTAAAAATACAAAAATTCACTGGGCACGGTGGCACATACCTGTAATCCCAGCCACTGGGGAGGTTGAGGCACAAGAATCACTTGAACCCAGGAAGCAGAGGTTGCAGTGAGCCGAGATCATATCATTGCACTCTAGCCTGAGCAAAAGAATGAGACTCTGTCTCAAAATTTAAAAAAAAGTTAACATTTGGAGTTGGGAGCAATGGCTTCTGAAGGTATATCTCATTCTGTCTTGAATACATTAGGTAGACATCGTTTTTTAAAATGTGAAACTGTTTTTTTTCCTTCCCATGCTTTTAACATTTTTGTATTCTGTACTGAAGATCAAGAACTAAACATTTCACTTTTATGTTTCTCCCATGGGGTACTTTTAAATTAAGTTGGTCTCTGGCTATTATATTTATTTTAATCTTTTGAGTTTGTTTTTCCCAACAATAAAGCCTGCAGTTTACTAATGCACTGTCAGATGATGTTGCATATGCAGGAGACAGAGCCATTATCTGTCTCAGTAAACAGATTTTTCTCATACCAAAAGCTGGAGACTAGGTCAATAAGCTTTTATGGCAACTTGTTAGATTTTTCTTAGGAAATCATAAAGATTTTTCTTTCTAGCTCATTTTCAAATTATATCAAATGATGAGAATTAAAAATAAGAAAGAATTTTAGAACTAATATTTTATAAAATTAGGATCATAAAACCAAGATTTAAATTGATTTTTAAAAATGTATATACCTAGTGTCTTAGGTCAAGTTTTCTAGAAGAGCCTGGAGAAGAGTTCTTGTGTATTCAATTTTTTTAGTAATAACAATAATAATAACATTTATTGAAGCCTTTGTATGTGCTAGACATAATGCTAAACACCTCACTTGAATTAATTTAATTTTGAAAATAATCATATGAACCAGATTTTATTATAATAATTTATTTTTTAGATTTAGGGGGTACATCTACTTATTATATGAGTATATTGCATACTGGTAGGGATTCAGCTTCTAGCATACCCATTACCAAATGGCGAACAGTGTACACAATAGGTAATTTTTCAAACTTCCTGCCCCTCCCCCTTCCATTTTGGAGTCTTTGGTGTTTATTATCTCCATTTTTATGTCCACGTGTGTCCATTGTTTAGCTCCCACTTATAAGTAAGAACATACAGTATTTGGTTTTCTGTTCCTTAGTGGGACTTAGGACAATGGCTTCCAGCTTCATTCATGTTATGGTTAAAGGCCTGATTTCATTTTTTATGGCTGTGTAGTTTTATTTTGGGGAAAGGGGTAGGGCTTCCCCAAAGGGTAGACAGGTTTATTTGGCAGCAGCCAGGGAAATCAGCTGTTGGACTTGGCCACATGCTCCAGCTCGTCCTTCTTGATGGCATAGGAGTGGGAGGAGCTCTTGGTGACATTGATGAGCTCATCTGCCAGACATTCAGCAATGGTCTTGATGCTCCAGAAGGAAGCCTCAAGAGCACCTGTGCACAGCAGCCAGATGGCATGATTCACACGGTGCAGTGGGGACACGTCCGCAGCCTGTCATCTCAGAGTCCAGGTTTGCCCAATGCATGTGGACCACTGTTGATGATGGCGTTCACCAGGACCTGCAGAGGGTTCTCGCCTGTGAGCAGTTGGATGATCTCGAAGGCATGTTTGACGATGCACACAGTCATGAGCTTCTTGCAGTTATTGCGGCCGTGAATCATCATGGAATTAGTGAGGCACTCCTCAATGGGGCACTGAGCTTTGTGGAAGTGTTTGGTGGCATACTACCCTGCACTGTGAGGCAGGTGCTTGGCATACTTCTCCTTCACTGCAATGTAATCTTGTGGGGAAGTGTCGTTGATTTGCACATCACTGGTGCTCCACTTCTCAAAGAGCTTGATGTCAGGGGTCTCTGCCACCACTGGTGCTGCTGTCTCCCACTTGGTCATCCTGAGAGCACAATCTGAGCATCTCTGTCACTTGGCATGGACCATGCTCCACCCTGGCACAGACAGGAAGAGTGGCTGCGTAGTTTTCTATTGTGTATATGTACCACATTTTCTTTATCCAGGAAACCATCAATGGACATGATTTTCTGAAAGAGACCTCTCAGGAGAAGGGCAGTACAACAAGCGAGGGACAGGAGAGTGGAGAGCTAGAGTGGACACGGTTCCACCTGGAGTTGTATTTCAACTTGCACTTCAAACTTTGTCCCATCTTGAGGCAAAGTAGCTGACCTATGTTCTCCAGGGGATGCAAAATCACTGCATTGAGATGATATCGATGAAGTATTTTAATGGTAAAGAAAAGTGGTTATGACGTGTGTTAAGTGAATCACAGACTAGACACAAATCTACCACCAACAGTCTTAACCATGTGAAGTGAACCAGTGAACAAGAACACGTTCCCTACACTAGAATAAGAATACCTAGTATGTGCTCAAAATCTTGTTTAGCAAGCCAATTAAGGTATGACTGAACAATTTACTTTCCCTCCTTTAAAAAAGGGTTGATAAATTATGATCCATGACCAAATCCAACTGACCATCTGTTTTGTAAATAAAATTTTATTGGAACACCGCATCTATGGCTGCTTTTGTATAGCAGAATGGAATAGTCTCCACTCTGAAAGGTTTAAAAGAGAGCACGTGGGTGAAGAAATCATTCTCAACTCTTATAATGCTATTGTCACTTCTCCGTCTCACTTTATTTCCATCAGAAGCACAACTAGTCCTTGTAGGCTCTTATTACAAAGAAAGAAAATGAGATGTAGTAATTAAAGCCAATTGCTTAAGTCCCCATAACTATCTCAAAGCATGTGGAACCAGACATATGTGTGATTTACAATACACAACCTTTACAATCAATTCATTGCTTTCAAGAAATCAGTAATTATCTATTTTCAGGTATATCCCAGGTTTCCAGAGTGAAGCTAAGGAGTAGAAAATGTTGCATATAAAGGCTCATTATGTTTTAGTAGTATTATATATTTCATACAGGACTAGTTTGCTCAAGTATTTTTTAACATTTGTGGACAATGCAGTTAAGATAAATCCTACCAGGAGATTATGCAAATTTCATGTTTGAATGCATTTATTTTGCATATTGGAAGCTCATATAACTTTTTGTGTAGCATATTTGTGCAGGAACTCTTTTACTAGAAGTAAGAATGTAAAGCTTACCAGAATTCATTATTTGCATTCCTTAAGATGAGAAATATTGTGCTTTTGGATTCTATTACATAATTCTGTGCTGTGGAGCAAAAACAATCTGTAACAGACATTTTATTCCACCTGTTTTTACTGTATTTACTGTAGTCCTATAGATGTAGGCTAGAGAAAAAAATTAAAGTAGCTGAATAAAATATACTTTCTCTGTCTTTTGGGGGGGATCCTTATAAATGAAATGCAAGTAGTTTTGTAAGTATATGAAAGGCAACCTCTCGTGCTGTTTCTCTGTGTTCTTTCAAATAACTATTATCTTCTTTAATACCTGAACATGAATGATGGAACTCAGGATTGGTAGGTATGATGGCTTAGGCTGCACCAGAAGAAGGACAGAGCAGAATTATGATCCATTCTGAAATGGTTGGCAGGTGATATTTAGAACTAGGCTGGTCTGGGGCCAGGCGCAGTGGCTCACACCTGTAATTCTAGCATTTTGGGAGGCCAAGGCAGGAAGATTACTTGAGCCCTGGAGCTCAAGACTAGCCTGGGCTGGAATTCAACTGTGCCAGTGTCATTTAAGGCTACCAGTGAGGCAGAATGTTTCCCTGACCCCTTCATGGGTGGGAACTGGAGTGCATAAGTGCTGGCAGGGGCAAACTCCACTCATTGCTCCACCCCTTGTGAGAGTGCAGGTGAGGGAGTGCAGTAGATGGCATAAGTGGTTTTAGGTGCCAGCAAGAGCGAACTCCATACTGGCGCCATGGCAACCTCTAGGAAAGAGTGCTTGTGACTCCTAAAACCCCAGAAGAAGTGTTACAGTACTCTTTTAGCTTTGACACGTGCAGACGGCTTAAGTGTTCACAGCTCAGTGGAGGGTCAGTATGACAGCCTTTTGTACTGAAACTCATGGTACCCAGGTTCTCCTCTAGTGTCTAGTAGGAATGAGATTACACTAATGAATTGAAGATGGAAAATACGGGGAATTATATTGCCAGTGAAAGTGGTTCTCTGTAGGAAGGGGAGCTGAAAAGGAAAGGAGTGCAAAAGTAAGCTTCCCCTGGAGTCAATTTGTCCCTCAGAAGTCAAGCCACTTCTCTCCAATGACCAACTGCAGTCTCTGACATCCAGCTGCTTCTCCTCCCTGCTGGCTGAGCCTGGGATTTTTCTGGGCACAGGATGAGGAGGTAGGGTGGGCCATGGGTGATTTTGGAAAAGGCAAAATTCAAGGGGGAAAACAAGGATGTAAGTTCTCACTTTGGGCTATCATTCCAGGCTTTTTGGTTTGAGGGTGGGCCCGCACTGGGGACCTGCCTTTTTCTGCCCAGAATTTCCCTGCCTCCTGTTTCTATCAACAGTATAGGAAGGAGCCATAATAATTGGACTGTGGTTTCTCCAGTAAGTTCTGCATCAGGGATTAGAGTTAAGATAGATGAAAATGTTCAAGATAAGAGAAAGGCTGTCTAGCATGGGCTCAGCTAAATTATGCCGATTTAGTAAAGCCTTAAGCCCCCAGGCTGCAGGCTTCATTATTAAGGCTCTGAAGCTGAGTTGGAAGACTCTTCCCTTAACATGAGGTCATCATTCCCAAAAGAACAGCTAGCACATTGTGATTGACTGAACCTAACATTCTAAGAATTAGGGACTACCAGTTTTCTCATTCTTGTAGTCTTGTTATCCTAAGTTGAAACAAAAGTGTCTCAACAATGAGAAGAAGACGACCTTATTTTCAGGAACGTCATGGTCCAATAGGACCATAAGGACAATACAGCATGCATTTCATAGAAGCTTGGAGAAAAGCATTCTGTGCTTTGACTACAGAAAATTAGTAGTCTATCGAGATGAGAAGACGTTTGATCAGGTCTCCAAGATGAGGCATGAGCTCAGTAACTAGATTATGGGAAAAAAGGTTTCCAGGAGAGGGTTACATTGAAGGTCAAAGATACAGGCATTTTATACCCTATTCTCTAAGCCCTAAGATGTGTTGCTTATCTGAAACATAGAATATATAATAGAATGTAATGGAATCTAAGCCTAGTAGGATAACCAGATGACAATTCTGCTAATGAGTGCAGAGGAAGACTTGCTGGTTAATGGCTGCTATGTCTTTATTTTTTGGGAATCCTTAAGAATGAAATGCAGTTCTGTACAAACATGAAAGGCAATCTCTTAGTGCTGTTTCAATGTATTCTTTCAAATAGCTGTTATGCCCCTCAATGAAGTTAAGGAAAAACAAAAATAAAAGGGAAAATGTAACACAGTTCTTGAAAACGGCCTGTGGACTGGGTGCAGTGGCTTGTACCTGTAATCCTAGCATTTTGGGAGGCTGAGGTTGGTGGATTGCTTGAGCCCAGGAATTTGAGACCAGCCTGGGCAACACAGTGCAACCTTGTATCTAATAAAAAAAAAATAGCTGATTATGGTGGCACAAGCCTGTAGTCCCAGGTATTTGAGAGGCTGAGGTGGGAGTATCACCTGATCCTGGGAGGTCAAAGTTGCAGTGAGCCATGATGGTGACACTGCATTCTAGCCTGAGCAACACAGTGAGACTCTCTCTCAAAAAAAAATTGCCTGTAACTAAAATTTGCATTATAAAATTACTGAGTATTTTGGAGCTCACTCATAACTAAATTTAGTAAGAAAAATGAATATCAGTAGTGGTTTTACAATTTTTGGTGGCATGGACCCTGTTAATGTATTTCATGGATAGTTTAATGTTCCTTCAAGAGAAAACCCCACATACACACAGGAGACACATCATAGGGACTCTAATTACCTAATGGACACAAGTTAAAAATCTAATTTTGTTTTTTAAGATGAGAAAAGTAATTTTTGCTGGGGCAATTCTTTCTGGGATGTGCCCCATTTGATAGGGAGAAATGGGAAAGAGTTATATGTGAAATCCTGTGCTGTAAGTTTTCATTTGTGTCATCACCGGCTGGTTTTATCTGACCTTTACTTGAGGATTCTCTCTCAAGATGTCCAGTTACCTAGGCTCTAGGCTGAATCTGCATCGTGGCATTTTGGTCTCTATAATTTTTCCAGCTGGGAGAGGTCTATTATTAGTAACAATCATAATAATCTGGCTTGATTTTATGGTCAATTTTCCCTTCTGCATAACTCAGAAGGTTTCAGATGATTTCCATCAAGAGGAAAACTTCTCCAGAAGAAAGGCGTGTTTGAACTCTGGATCAGGGATTGTCAAACTTTTTCTGGAAAGAGCTGTATAGCAAGTATTTTTGGCTTTGTGAGACATATAGTTTCTGCCACAACTACTCCACTATGCTGTTGTAGTATGAACATGCTATAGATGTTACATAAACAGATGGACCTGGCTGTGTTCCATTAAAACTTTATTTACAAAAAAGCAGGTGGAGGGCCACAGATTGACCACAACTACTCTAGACTCTAGATATTCTTAATTAAATGCACATATACAGATATATCTGTCTGCAAATATCCATGGTCAAATTTTATTCCAATAAAAAGTTTTATTTGTTGTTGTTGTTTGAAGGAAGCATAGTTTGTGTTGGCTTTTGACAAAATCAAGAGTGTGAAAAGAAGATCTTTTCCCTGGCAACCCTTTAAGGTTAAAATTCAAATGGGGGCATTCTTTAGTTGATTTTGCTTGACTATAATGTTAATTCTTTATTCTTTATTTATTTCTTGACATGGAGTCTCACTCTGTCACCCAGGCTGGAGTGTAGTGCTGCCATCTCAGCTCACTGCAACCTCCGCCTCCCTGGTTCAAGTGAGTCTCCTGCCTCAGCTCCCTGAGTAGCTGGGATTATAGGCATGCACCACCACATCCAGATAACTGTAATTTTAGTAGAGATGGGGTTTTGCCATGTT